CCGACTCCAGATTCCGCCATCCGGATTTTCACCTCTTCATCAATCTTCCATGTCTATTTAACACGATAATAAATATGAGGCGTGAAATCGCGTCAAACAACGTGAATTAGAGAAACAAGATGTACCGTGTACTGAGAAGCCATGGTAGTCTTCTCCTGAACTATTCTCTGCGTTCGTTGCCGCAGATTTTGATCTGTGTGGGATGCTAAAAGCAGCCAGAGATTCCTTGGATCTGCATCTTTTGCCCGAATTGACCAATGGGATGAGATGTGCTGTACAAATAAAGGCTATGGGTTAACTGATTCAATCTCATCCATCTATTTGACAATCTGGGCATTAGCAACAATTATTTATCTATCTGATCCCAAAAAATACGACTCTAAGTGTATATTAGAGATAGAACGATATAGATAAGGCTAAAATGAAGAATCATATACACCGTAAACAAAGCATCGTCGATGTAACGGGGTATCTCACAAACAACTGGACATAATATAGTTTTATACAATTGCTTAGAATCTACATGAAACTTATGTAATTGTGGGTAATTTGCTGAATCAAAATAGTACTGGTTTACGTGAACATTTAATCTCATACAAATAGCTTTATTATAGACATTGTAACGTTTTTTATAGTGTCAATCTAGATAGAATAAACCTTCTTGAAATGGCAGAGTAAAGTACGTTTTGCTACGTTGAGGCATCTTGCTCCTGGGTAAAGCGCACGAGCCCAACCTATGCGTTAGTTGAGCGGCTCTTCAATAACAGCCATCTCTATGCAAGATGCACAGCAAGTTCGTTTTACTTGGGAGTACTTGTAGTCATTCGAATGTCCGAGTCGCAAGCACTACGAGAATGGAAAACAAACTGTTTGATTATTTGTTCTCAGGACGACTGGACATACTCAAAACTTTATGCCTTCAATTAATCGCAATACGCGACCATACTTGGCGGCTCGAGGGCCCAAAGCGGTGGTGGGACTTTACTTGCCCCGAAAAATCACGGGTGGGCCACA